CTTTTGGTTAATTTGATCCGATTGATTCATGATTTGGTTGTGTTAGTCTTTTCATATGCTGTTTGAATCATGATTTGCTGGTTTAACTTCATGATTAACTGATTATGCGATCATCCGGTTGATCGAATAAGTGCTTATTTGCTGAAAATGCTGCTCTGTTACTGTTTTTCTGCTGTTGGCACAGTGTTAATCGGTTAACATATATGGTTAACCGATTAACCGTTTCAAATATTTAAAATTTTCAAAGTTTTCAAAGTGTTAATCGGTTAACACCTGGTGTTAATCGATTAACATGTACAAATTTCCAGATTTTCAGTCATTTTTAAGTGGTTAGTCAGTTAACCTCTGGCGTTAACCGATTAACACTGTGCCAGTGGGTCTGTTTTGCTGATTGTCTTGCTTGTTTGAGTATCATTTTGCATCGAATCATTGTAGTTCAATACGATGCATTAGAAGTGAAATGTTTTAGAAGTTATATCGCTGTTTTGATTGTTTAATCGAAACTTCGTCGACTTGTGTTTGTTTTCCACTTGGATGCACACTTATGTGTTGTTATTCGAAGTGATGATGTTCTTGCATATTCATGTTTGCTTACATTCTTGCATTTGCGTATCCTTTTGTTTTGCATCTTTATTTCTTGCATTAATAAAGGTCGAGATGTGCTTGTGGTGGTGTTTACCCCACACTTTGTTCCTCCCTTTGCTTGTGTGTTGCATTCCATGTTTGCATCCCTATTTTCACTCTCATTGGTGTTTGATCTTTCTTCTTCCTTTGTCTTTCTTTGCCATGCTCCCCATAGGATCTCTAATCTCTTTTGAGGTTATGATAGACTTTAGGTTGGAAGCCATGCATGCTAACATTAGGGTAGATGTTTCCCCTTTCAATCCTAACCTTAGGACCATTTTGCATGATAACGTTAGGGTCGAGTTTCCCTTAGACCTTTCGTGCGTCTTCTTCTTCTCACCTTCAAACAATTTCAAAGCATTTAATAAAGGCCAATGAATGTTGTACGCTACGAGCCTTAAGCTACTTGGGAAATGGTGATTGGGGGGCTTCCTTTCAATGGCCTAGAGTGTTTAGTGTACACCCTTTGGGTGATATGCGACGCATTCGCTTCTAGGTCATAGTCTTTAGTGCAACATCAATTACAAATCAAACTCAAAACATTTCTTCACTAAAAAACTCAAAATAAACTTCAAACCTTTTTCCTTTGGGATTAATTGGCAAACCTTTTTCATAAAAAAGAGTCTTGTTAAGCTTTGGTTCTACCGCAAACAGGCATTGTCCCTAACTGCTAGAACAAAGGTTTAACCCTACTCGGGTAAAACATTTGGAACCAACCGGTGTTCTCGTTAGTCTGAACTACATTTGCTCTGATTTCTCATACCAGATGAGAATGCGTAGGCACAAGACGCGATGTCTTAGCGAGCAACCTTCCCCCTTTCCTCGTAGTTAGCCGAACTACGTTGACTCTGACTTTCCCATTGCACGAGGGAATACGTAGGCACAGAGCGACGATGCTCTGCTGAGTCTCTTTTCTTTTCTTTTTGTCCTGTGAGCCTGTAGCGTAGATAGTTTAAACACACCCTTCAAATAGACAACAAGCATGGATCCCGTCGAGTACGAAGGATGTGAGGGGTGCTTATACCTTCCCCTTGCGTAACCGACTCCCGAATCCAGGACTTGGTTGCCATGACCTCGTCTTTTCCCTTTTTCGTTAGGTTTTTCAGATCGTTTCCTTTCCTTCTCTTTGGGATAAATAACAAAAGAGGGCGACTCTTCTGTTTTCCACCGGGTGTTTTTCGCAGTTGTGACAGCTTCCCCACGGTTGGGTAGGCCCAGCCTAACATCACATTGGGGAGGCCCAATCCTCCTCCTTGTCGGACACACTCTGCTGTCGAACAGGACACTGCCTATAATGGGGAGAGCTCATGCGTCTTCCCCACGGACTCCATGTGCCCCCACACGGGGACACATCATCAAACAACTACCCACTTCCGAAAGAACTGGTCAGCCCACCATTCGAATATCATGGGACAGTTGATCCAGGGCGAAGATCACGTGCTGGTTTTCCCTACGCCATGTAAGCCCTGACACTTACTCGTATTGGGCCTTTCAACCTGACCCAATGTAAAGTAATTGTTGGCCCTGCACTAAAGGCACATTATAAATACCCTCTTTCATTAGAGGCCAGGTATTCTATTATTTACACCTTTTCTCTGTACTTGCTCTTGCTAACTCTGTTACTCACCTTTTCTCTGCATTAAAGGCACATTAATAATACCTTATACATCCAACAACTATAAAAGCGCTCTTCTAGGTTAGAATCATTCCAAGATGTCATCAGTGGTGCTTCGAGGTTGCACATGCATTCACCTCAGTTTGATTTGAAGTTTGAATGGGATTTTGTGCGACTGCTTGCTTGGGAAAAACCAGACATGGATAATAGGAGTTATAAGACTTGGAGAAGATGAAGTAGAAGATGTGGAGAAAAAGGAATAGCTTTGAAATTTCGGGAGAAGAAGAAAGAGACAAACACGATGCAATTTAGGGTTCTATATAGATTATCTAACATTAATTATTGTTTTTTAAAATATTAATTTTATATATATATATATATATATATATATATATATATATATATATATATATATATATATATATATATATATATATATATATATATATATATATATATATATATATATATATATATATATATATATATATATATATATATATATATATATATATATATATATATATATATATATATATATATATATATATATATATATATATATATATATATATGACATGACGTCTGACTTCCCATGCCAACTCACCATTTTGAGCGCCACATAATCAAAATAGGAGGGGGACTTAAGAAAATCCCAAAAAATGACAACTTGAGGGACTAAAAGACTAAAAAAATTAAAAAGGGGACTAAAACGTTAAAAATTTATAAATAGGGGGACTAACATGTTAATCATTTATTAGTAAGTGAGTTAAAATTATTGAATATATGGGTGTTGGCAAAGCGTCATAATGATATGTGTCATCCATTTCGGCCATTGGCATACAATTAAAAGGCAGGACCTATAAATTCATAATATCCCTTGAAGATTTTTAATATTATTTTGCTCATAAACCCCCTTCAAATTCTCATTTTATGACTTTTTCATCTCGGATTGTTTGCTTTTAGGCAAATGCTTGTTCTGTATATAAAAATTCAAAAGTTTCTTTCACCCTCATTTATGTTTTATATTGTATCCGTTCATGGCATTTTATATCAATCTTCTAATACAATGATTTTCATAGCTAGTTGCTTTAAATTTCATTTATCAGGCCAAGTCAACAGTAAATTCTACATGTGTTAGCTCTATTTGAACCGAAAAACTTTTCTGGTATTGAAGTTGTTCTGGCCTGGGCCCCGGCCTCACCTCGCGGCCCAACCCAAATGATAGCAATAAAGGCCCAATATGCTTTAAGTAGGCTGACCGAGCACGTGACCCCTCGACGGGCGGGGCGTGCTCCCGTCGAGCAGAACAACGTGCCTCAAGACGTCCTCGACGCTCCCCTCCTTTCGCGGGGAGGCGCTACCAACCACTGTCCCTTGTCGGGCAGAATAGCCCTCCGCGGGCAGAATCCCCATGCCAACGAGCAGGACAACATGCCTCTCCCACGCCCTCGTGTGCTCCCCTCCGCGGGGAGAACAACACACCTTCGGGGAACCCCGCGAGCTCCCCTCCGCGGGGAGATCAACGTGCTATTCGCACGTTCTCCACGTGCTCCCCTCCGCAGGGCCACGTCACCGACCAACTACCCACCTCCGAAAGAGCAGGTCAAACCCACTTTCCGGAGATCACGGGACAGTTGAACTAGGGCGAAGACCACGTCCTGGTCTTCACTACGCCACGTAAGTCCTAACAGTCACCTGGGTTAGGCCTGACAATCCAGCCCAACACAAGTGACCGTTGGCCCAGCGCTGGAGTCTCTCTATAAATACCCTCTTTCACAAAAAGGTCAGGTAATTCACTTCTTACCCATTTTTCTGTGCTTGCGACCACTCTGCCCATATACTTACTTTGGCATCGAAGTGCCTTGCAGGTACACCCCCTCCTCCTCCTCATCACCGGTGAACAGGCAGCAGCCCAACAGAGTGTGACCAGCTAGTGATCCCCTTCTAATCAAGTCAGATAAGAAGTCATGTCATTTCTTCCTAAAGAATCTCTTAATGTTAAATTCCAGGAGATTTGGAGATTAGTTTTTTTAAGAGCAGGTGGAAAAGAAGTTGCAGAAGAGATTTTGATACTATTTTCTATAAATTAATTGATAATTTTTATTTTTTCTAAGTTAATTATGTAAATTAATTATATATATTTTTAATGTTTTTCTAAAGTTTTTTATAATATTTATGTTTTTTCTGAGTTAGTTATTGTTCATATAATATTTTATGAAAATTAATTTATAATTTTTATATTTTTGTTGAGTTTAAAATTATTTGTTTGTTTTTAATATATATATACATATATATATATATATATATATATATATATATATATATATATATATATATATATATATATATATATATATATATATATATATATATATATATTATTGCTGACTCATTATATAATTGACATATCATGTTGTAAATATTAACTTTTTTTCTATTAAACTAACGGAGTAAATCAATAATATTAACGGAAATAATATTAGGAAAACTGTAATGTTTTTTCATTTAAGAATTAAAGCGAAACTTATAATTAACCCGTGGTAATACTAGTCATGAGTCAAACAATAGCCAAAATCCAATGGTTGATGTTGCACCTCAAATCTCCGCTCTATTTAACTCAAACCACTTTCCAATGGAAACTTGGACATACCTTGTCCACACACACTTATCCATTGATTTTGATAACACATGTTCACAATAACTTCAAAACAAAACACATCAAATTCACAATTTTTAGTATCATCAATCCCCTCAAAAAATGTCTGTAACGTCTTCAATCCCATGCATCAAAATCCCAACAACTTCTTCTTCATGTGCATCTTCATCAACTTCATCTTATTCTTTTAGATTCTCTTACCACAAACCTTATGCTGTTACTGTAAGAAACTCTATGAGTGAAGGTCCTTTGAGAAGACCAATGGCTCCTTCTGTGAAAGAACCATCTAATCTTCCTCAACCATTGAAACCCTCACCTCCTTCTCAGTCTCCACCGCAGCCTCAGAAACCAAGTTCTGTTGTTGTTGGGGATGATAAAAGTGTTATTACATTAGAGTTTCAGAGACAAAAGGCTAAGGAATTGCAGGAGTATTTCAAATTGAAGAAGCTTGAACAAGCTGCTGATCAAGGTCCCTTCTTTGGATTCATTGCCAAAAATGAGATTAGCAATGGAAGGTAATTTTGTTTTTTAACTTATAAGATGCCCATAAACTGTTTGTGAAAATGTTTTGACTTTATTATTATTATTATTTGTTATAGAATAATAGAAATAGTTTATAGTAAGTTATACATAAGCCCTTGTATGATAAGTGCTTATGTTATAAGAGGTTAATTAAGTTGTTTATCCGGTTATGAGTTAATTTTGAGTTTCTGCTTGGATGTGTTGTTCATCAAAATATTGATTGAAATGAACCTTAAAACCTGTCTCAGTTGTTTTGTGGCAATAGGCTTAGCAAATTTCAAGGGATGTTAATTCCAAATTTATTACTTTTTTTTTGTCTCCTTTTAGACTAAGATGATAAACTATGTTCTGTAGTTATGATAGAGATGAATGAAAATCAAGACGATTATGACGAGAATAACTCACTTAAGCTGGTGCTTATTAATCACTGAGAGTTTAGTTCTAGAATTGTTGCAACCAGTGTAGGACTAGATTGTAATGTGAATAATAAAGTGCAAATTATTTTCATATGGGTCTATTCTGATATAACAAAAAGTTCTGCATTACTTCGGCATTGAGGCTAAGTTTAGTTTATAATCACCCACACTCCTCTACTCCCGAAGCTTCTTTTAGGGGAAGACAAACCTCACGAGTGTTTACACAAGGCCCGTAGGGGACAACACATCTGAAAAGCGGCGCAACAAACCTTTGTCTCTAATGTTGATGTTGATCATGTGATAAAGTATCCAAAATACCTTGAAAAGCATATCTTTTGCAACATCCTTTTCTCCTTCAGTCGTTATACTTAATATTGATGTTGATAATGTGACAAAGTAACCAAAATACCTCGGAAAGTGTAGATTTTGCAGCATTTTTTTCTCCTTCAATGGTTATATTTATACAGCTGTTGATTATGTGATATTCCAAGGCTAATTTCATCTCAAAGAAAGCTTCTTTTCAGCTACTTGTGTGTTAATGATATGTATTCTTTTTGAAATGATTATCTATAATCTTGTGTGGACTATCTGCATTTTTAATTAATCTGGAATTGATTCTTGTTTCTTCAGGTGGGCAATGTTTGGTTTTGCTGTTGGGTTGCTAACTGAGTTTGCGACGGGCTCAGACTTTGTTGATCAAGTGAAGATCCTTTTCTCCAATTTTGGGATATTAGATTTGGAATGAATATAATAACTTTATATAAAATACATTGTCAATAGTTTCTTGTTGTTTTTGAATGTGTAAACAAGGTTTATCAATTTGTTTCATCTTCATATGTAGCAAGCAAGCTTGCTTTATTATGAAGTTAAATAACAATAATGTGATTATCCTTTTCCATTATGAACAATTCTTGCTTTACATATAGCAAAAGTGTGATCTACACACTGTCATAACAATGTCAAGTTAACTTGGCAGAAATTTGTGATGGTTTAAATAATGATACAATGCTTATCTCAAGAAAAATAACTAATCAACTGTTTACTTAACAAAAACATGAATTATAAACTAAATGCCATAAACATTTCTTTTGAAACTAAGTTTTCTTGTAAAACATATGGCATGTCTAACGAGATAAAACTTATTTTTGCATTTGGTCTCTTACGTTTATACTATTACGTTTCATTTTGATTCTCTCTAATTTAAAAGTTTCAGTATTGTCTCTTTAGTTAGTCAAGTTAGGATTAGTTGATCCCTTATGTTAAATTTTAGCTGAACGTCGTGTAAATGTGACATGTGTATGGAAATCTAAAGTGGCTATTTACATCTTGATTTGGAATTGTTTATGTTTCTATTCTACAAAGGCTTGATGAAATAGGATATGGCTTCTTTGCATTAATTCTAACGTTTATAATATCCTATTAACTTATATGGAGCTTTTTGATCTGAAGTGATGGATTGTATCATAACAAAAATTGAACCACTTAAATGAATAATGAACTTAACTATTTAATTCAAACAATTATAACTCGGTTTAAAACTGATTCATAATCCGTTTTCTTTTATAAACTGTTCTAATTATATAAATAAGTTTTCCATAAAAAAGAAGAAAAACTATTGAGAGTGAAAAAAAATGGAAATAAAAATATATTTGTAATTATTGAAAAAAAAAGATTTTATTAAAAATATATTTTTTTTGAAAACGAATTTTTTTCCAAAAAAAAAAAATGAAAATAATTAAAAAATTATTTTTCCCCAAATTTAATTTAATTTTTATTTTTCAAAAAAAAATTATTCTGAAATTTCTTTTTCCGAAAAATAAAAATAAATTTTTAAATAAATTTTTTTCCCCAAATTTGAAATTTTTTTATTCTGAAACATTTTTTTTTTGAAAAATAAATAATTTTATTATTCTTAAATTTTTATTTTTCATAAAATTATTTTTCGAAAATATTTATTTTGAAAAAAAAAGATTTTTTTTGTTCCAAAAATTTTATAAAAAGTTAAAATAATTTTTCTTATTTTTTTTTAATAAAATTTTTCAAAGATTATAATTTTTTTTAAAATTAACATTTTTTTTATCAAATTAAAAAAAATTGATTTTGAAAGAGTTCAAATTATAAAATTGCTTTATAATTGCAATTCTAAATTAGTTTTAAATTGAATTGAAACCATTTTAATAATTAACTACATTTTTATTGAAATGGTTATTGTAAATTGAATTGAACTATTTAAATATGGTTTGATTCAATGCAGTTCATGAACCACGAACACTCCTAATTTATATAAATAACTTTAAAGAGAGACATGTAAGCTAGAAAAACTATGAACCACGAACACCGATTGGATTCACATTTTTATACCTTTTATTTTGTTGAATCCAAATGATCGTTTGCTTGCGTTTGAAGAGGAGGTAGATTCGATCTTTAAGCTGAAATTCAGTTGGACTTTCGGTTTAGCTATTTGTTGGACCATTTGGTTTTGTCGAAATTCTATTCTCTTTGATGGCGGTTCTTTGGTTAAGTTTGATGGGTAGGGAATGATTAAACGGTTGTCGTGGGATTGGGAGTGGTTGGGCAAAAGTTGGATAGTTTGTTATCTTGGTCCGAATGGTGTGTCAATCCGGCCTTTGTTTTGGGTTAGTTTGTTCATTCCGTAGGCGGGGTTGTGTTTTTTCATTGTATCGATGTATGTTTGGGTTGTGAACCCCTAGAGCCGTTTTAATTTAATTTTCTTATAAAAAAAGTCTTGACATTCTTAAATACAGAATGAGGCCCAACAAACGTTCCTAAAAGCCCTCTAACAAACTAAAAGAAAAAAAATGGCTAAAAAGAAAAAAATAAAACATACAAATTATTATTTAACACCCCCATAAATTGGAACGTATGCAATGCAATCCTAGTTTGGAAACAAGAGAATAAAAGGCCCAGGTGAAGTGATTTTGTGAAGATGTCAGTAAGTTGGTTGGTAGAATTTATTGGTTGAAGATGAATAATTTTCTATTGAAATTTGTCACGTACCAAATGACAATCCACTTCAATGTGTTTGGTACGCTCGTGGATACAAGATTGTTGGTAATGTGAATCACACTTTAGTTGTCATAGAAATTTGTGATCGATTTGCTGTATTAAATGTTTTGACATCATTTTGGAACATCCTAAGAGTTATAAAGTATTCAATAATTACAGGTCAACAAAGTAAAAATGAACATCTTGACATGTCATCACTCCATTAAGAAAGTTGCTGATGAAAAGGAGGAAGCTCTTGAACACATGGCAACTGAAAATCAATTGAATAACAGTCGCACTAAGGCATTAAGGGATACTCTTAATGTCAACTCGTGTGAGAGTTAATAGCAGTCAATGCTAGGGAGGTATGCATGAGAGTTTATGTCTCTTTAGGTCTGTGTTGCACACGAAACAATTCATAATTTGCTTGTTTCTATACCTCCTTTTATATAAACATGCGTTACAAACAAGGTTTTTAATCTTCTGATATTTTTTACTTGCAATTTTCACATTTGCATTTCAAAATAAGTGAGGTGTTTGTAAATTCAAAAACCTACAAAAGAATAATAAAAGAGAGAAAGATCAAAGGGGTTAGGCCTTCTGCAAATGTTGAAGATGCAATGTCATTTGCAACTGATAAGAAGACTGTTACCAAGAGAAAGCCTGTAAAGAGGAAACATATTTAGAAACATGATTCTGACTTAGAGGCTGATCCTGGCTAGATTGCTCACAAGAACTGCATAGGATGGATTGAAGAATAAGCTCAGATGTTTTAACTTAGTTGTTCTGGGTAGTTTATGATTTGTAAAGACTCTATAGCCTATTTTATCTTTGTACTTGTAAGACAAATCTTATGATTGTGCATCTATTGATGTTGTTCTAATTGTTTTTCATGATCTGGGTGTGTATGTGCTAACATAACCCTTGCATGACTGATATTGTGTATGCTATTTTCTATGTATATTGACTTCGTTGAAGGACTAACCCTTTGCCAAATTATGGCAAAAAAGGGGAGTAGTGGTGTTGCTTAGGCAATAATTATTTGTTTGGTACTAATCCATCTGGGTAAGTGCAAATGATGTGCTCCATGCTAGAGCATTGGGCAAGACATCTGATCTTCATCCTTGTATCTATGAAAACATATCTATCTGTATTAGTATTATTCATTGATATTCTGATATCAATTACTAATTGACTTTCTGTGCATGACTAAGTATATGAATGATTGCATACTGATATATGTTAGTTAGTAGGATTGTATACTACTAACCATGTGGTACTAGATTCATGCGTGTTTAAGCCTGTGAAAGATTACATGATTATCTATTTGGTTTGGAGCAAACTGAATGAACTATATGTAAGCATCTAAATATTGATGCTTCTGACTTCTATTGCTGTTGGTGCTTAACTCTGATACATGGAAGTTGTTGTTGCTGAAATGCTCTAAAGATCCAGTACATCTACTAGATATCACTTGTTCTCATAGAAGAAGTGATATTTATCTTTAAAAGTTTTTTTTGCCATAATTTGTCATAGGGGAGATTATTGTTCCCATTTGATTTATCCTTTGTATTAACTGCATTTCAACAACAAAAGAAATAGAGAAATGTCCAGGTGTTCAACATTGGTCTAGCTTGCTAACAGGACCGGTCCATGGAAGCCTGAGGCAAATTTTAATATGAATCTTTTAAATAATTTTTTTTGAAATTAGTAATTATATTTTAATAAAAACAATATATTTTCAATTTGATTTTTTTAGGCTTTTGAAAATATAAAATCATTTATTAAATAAGTTTTATTTAATAATTATTTTTAAATCAATAACAAGTCAATTTATTTATTTTTTGTTCAAATTATGATAATTTTAACTCTATTAATAATGTTATTTATGATTGTAAAATAATTAACATTTTCTTTCTCCAAAATATTACTACCTCCGTCCCTAAATATAAGACTCCGTTGAAAAAATTACAGGAATTAATAAAGTTGGTTAGAGTATTAAATTATTGACTATTTTGTATAATTTTATAAATTTATTTTAGGAGAGAGAAATGATTAATGTGTATGTAACAAAATTTATTACATAGTGCAAAAAAAATATAATATAATTAGAGATATGTGTGGAAAAAAACAATTAATGCACTTTGAAAGTTGAATAAAGTCTTATAGAAAGAGACAAAAAAAAAAAAAATAACTCAAGAAGATCTTATAATTAGAGACGGAGGTAGTAATATTTTATCAGCTTTTATTTGTAATGCTCTTTTCCAAATAGTTTTTGTCATAGCTTTTATTAGCCTTTATTAATTAATAATGTTTTTTTTTTTTCATTTTTCTCTCGAAAGTCCATACAAAGTTTACAAACTATTAATTAAGTGGATAAGCATAAGCCCAAGAACACATTAAATCATTATATGTCTAAGAACACATTAAAGCATCTAACTTATTCAATTAATTTATAAACACTATGAAAAAAATGGTTAAAAAAATGGAGGTCCAAGGCAAAGGCCTTGGTTGCCTTGCCTTTGGGTCGGGCCTGCTTGCTAAAGCTATATGAAGCTACAAAAAGGATACATGTTGGGTGCGATACTCTAACATGTTGATACGACATATGTGCCTTGTGCAACAGACGTCAAAATGATGCGTTTTAGAGTGTGTTATGCAGAAGATTTGTTAAAGATTTTATCGTTATTGATTTAGTATTATGATTATGTGATTTGTTTGACATCTAGATGGAGTTTA